TAGTTTGGTTAATTTTTTAACTAAAGCCGAAACATTGTCTCCCTTTTCACTTTAATAGTTGAAAGGTCATATAGCTAGCATGTATGCAGTTCCAGATTCATTCTTATTTTAGATTCATTATTATTTATATCTAGATACCAAAGAACATTTAATATACTTTTAAATTCTTGACCAAACAACACTCAATATAAAAGGTATTTTAAAGTCAAAACAATTTAGAGACATATTCGGTACATGTACCTTTTTCTAATATTTAAAGGTACTTATTTGCCTTCATTAGATATAATAAAACATACCAGGCTCTAAAATGAAAATGTAGATCTATTGAATAAGAAGCAGAGTATTGGAATTTTAAGTATGAGAAACTAAACGTTTAAATTCTGCATACATTTATATAATGGACATTTATTTCACTATAACTCATTTTTAAATTTTTTTCAATTGCAGTATTCTTCCTAGGCTTGATAGGAAGATTCGTTTTTAAGATTATCGTATTTTAGGGATAAAGTACATGTATATAGTATAACATGCAACTGCTTTTATAATACTGCAAACAGAATAAAAGGGTATAATGTTGAGAAGTTCTCCCTTTCTCGCCAACCACCAATCCTGTATCCTTCCACAAAAGGCATTCATCAGTAGGTGTTTGTTTCTTGTTTTTGTATCCTTCCAGAGATTCCCTATATAATTATGTAAACATAATATATGTATTATAGAATCATTTTTGCCATAAATATTTGGGGCATTTTTTTCTTTGTATGATGCATTACATACTGCAAATTACCTTTATTGAATTTCCTGGAATTAATTTGTGTGTGTGGCAGTTGTACCCTCTGGGTTTTCTGTGTTGTTACTCAATCAAGCAAAAATGTAAGTCTCAAGTTGATTATTGCTGATTTTTTACAAGTAAATTGACCTTTAACTTTTAGGTTTTCTTTCAAAATTAAGTTGCATGTATTTCCTCCCATGGTTGAAATACTACTAGGATAACAGGTGGGTACAGTGGCTCACGCCTGTAATCCCAGCACTTTGGGAGGTGGAGGTGAGAGGATTGCCTGGGTCCAGGGTTCCAGATCAGCTTGGGCAATTTGGCGAGACCTCATCTCTACAATAAGAAAAAAAAAATTATCCAAGCATGGTGTTTAAGCATGTAGTTCCAGCTACCAGCTACTTGGAAGGCTTAGGCAGAATAATCAGCTGAGCCCAGAAGGTTCAGCCGTGATCGTGCCACTGCACTTCAGCCTGGGCAACAGAGTGAGACTCCGACTCAAAAAAAAGACTACTAGGGTAACAGAAAAGCATGGAAATCGAAGTTCTCATGCTTTTTAAGAAAAACATTTCTCCTTGGCACTATACTCATTAACAAAACATTTCATCATAGAGAAGCACTGCCATTATAAGCCCTTGTGTGAAAAACTAGTGCAGATGGCCCACTTTAATCTTTTCTTTTTAGCTACTTTAAAAAATCTTGAATCTAGCATTGCCAAGAACTTTAAAAAGGGTTATCAAATAACAAAAAATTCTAGCTTGGGTTCTTTGTTCTGTTCTGTTCTCTGAGGGTTAGTTACCCCCATAGACAGCTCTCCAATAAATTTAGAAGTGAAGACTATGTCAGTTCTTCCCAAATTGATCAGTAGATTCGAGTCAATAGTAATTAAAATCTTAAAAGGCTTTTTCTAGAAAGTGACATATCGATGCAAAATTTTTAAAAGTACGATCAAGTTGGAGGACTCACTAATATAAAGCTATTATATATTCATCAAGGCAGTTTGTAATGATTTACAGATACATAAATATATCAATGGCACAGAAAAGAGAGTCTAGAAACAGACCCACATGCCTTTTTTTTTAAACCATAGTACCAAAGCAATTTAATGGGGAAAGTCTTCAAGAACTAGTGCTGAAACAATTGGATCATTTGTATAGAAAAAAGTGAACCTGTTACCTGACACCATACACAAAAAATTGATTTGAGATGGATGTAGCACATAAAAGCCAAGTCTCTGACACTTTTAGAAGAAAACATAAGGAAATTTATCTTTATTATCTTGAGATAGGCAAAGATTTCTTCCAGGAGTCACAAAAAGTGCTAACAAGAAAAAAAATTGATAAATTGGACTTTATTAAATGTTAAAACCTTTTTGTACACTTTAAAAATCACAGTCTGGGCGACAGAGTGAGACTCCAACTCAAAAAAAAACAAAAAAAAGCAAAAATCACTCCTGGCCGGGGACAATGGGTCATGTCTGTAATCCCAGCACTTTGGGAGACCGAGGTGGGAGGATTGCTTGCATCCAGGAGTTAGAGAGCTGCCTAGGCAATATAGCAAGACTTCATCTCCACACACACACACAAATATCAAAAAATTAGTCAGGCATGGTAGTGTATGTGAATATAAGTCTCAGCTCTTCAGGAGGCTGAGGCAGAGAGATCACCTGAGCCAAAAAGGTCAAGGCTGTGGTGGGCCGTGATTGTACCACTGCACTCCAGGCCTGGGCATCAGCATGAGACCTTGACTCTAAATAAATAAATCACTCCTATAAATTGATAGTAAAAGACAAATGACCCAATTAAAGGTAATGGACAAAAAATATGAGGAAACACTGTAAAAAAAAGTTATGTGACTGTCCAATAAACAAATGAGAAGGTGTTCAACCTCATTTCTCATCAGAGGAAATGCAAACGAAACACTAATTCTTCCAGAACTGATAAATTAAAAAGTTTGACAACACCAAATGTTGACTGGGATGTGAAACAGCCAGATTCATAAACTGGTGGGAGTGTAAATGGTACAACTACTTTGGAAAACTGGTACTTAAAAAATTAAGTATGCATCTACCCTATTATTCAGTAATTCCACTCCTAAGTATTTACCAAGGTAAAATATGTCTGTGAAGCCTTGTATTAAAATTTATTGTGCTGTTATTCATTGTATCATTGTTTCTTAATATAAAAGATGGAAAGCAGCCTAAATGTTTCATCAATAGGAAACTAATTAATTTAGTTATGGCATAGTCACTTCAGTACTACCTAGCTGCAAAACAATTGGAAAGGTCTTTATGTATTGATACGAACGTCTCTGAAATATATTATTAAGTGCAAAAAGCAGAGTACAGAACAGTATGTTTTTTTAAAGATGTGCACATAGATATGCACACAGGAATATACATAGCATATATCTAAAGGTAAGCACAAAAAATTGTTTAGTGTCAGTTGCCTCTGAGAAGGGTAATTGAGTAGCATAATCAAATAAAGAGGGATTTTCCACTGTGTATCCTTTTGTATTTTTTGAATTTTCAATCATATGAATATAGTACTATACTGAATAAATTTTTTTTAAACATTGTACTTAGAAATGCAGATTAGAGATCTGAGAAATCTGAAATTCAGTGGATGTAGCATTTAGAGCAGAGAGGTCCAAAACTGCTGATAAGTACATTTTGAATAATGTGAACTTAATGTACCCATCTGACTTATAGGATAATCTAAGACTTCTTCTCAGACGCTAAACTCACTGTATCAGAATTAGCTGGAGAGTTTGTCAAAATACCTGGCCTTGGCCAGGCATAGTGGCTCACGGCCATAATTCCAGCACTTAGGGAGGCCAAGGCAGGAGGATTGCTTAAGGCAAGGAGTTTGAGAACAACCTGGGCAACATTGTGAGATCTTGTCTCTACCACAAATCGAAAAGTTACCCAGAGGCAGTGGCTCACACCTGTAGCCTTAGCTACCCAGGAGGCTGAGGCGGAAGGATTACCTGAGCCCAGGATGTCAAGGCTGCCATGATCATGCCACTGCATTCCAGCCTGGGCAACAGAGTGAGACCTAGACTCAAAAAAAAGACCAGATGTCCAGTCCTAGGATTTTATTACTGTTAAATGTTCCAGCAGACTGGGCATGGTGGCTCAGCCTGTAATCCCAGCATTTTGGGAGGCTGAGGTGAGTGGATTGCCTGAGCCTGCGGGTTCAAGACCAGCCCCGGCAACTTGGCGAGACCTCGTCTCTACAATAAATCAAAAGTTAGCCAGGCATAGTAGCATGCACCTATAGTTCTGGTTACTTGGAAAGCTGAGGCGGAGGGATTGCTGGAGCCTAGCAAGTCGATGCCAGGGTGACCATGAGTGTGCCACTGCACTCGAGCCTGGGCAACGGAGTGAAACTACAACTCAAAAAACAAGTAAATAAGATAAGCAGACCAGCACTAGGGCATGAACATTCTGTGTGTAAAAGCTTCCAAGTGACTCCTTGCACAGCCAGTTGTGGAAACTGCTAGCCTAAAACATTGATGTGTCCTTACAAGCTTCAGTTCATTCTTTGTTTTGGTCTCTTTTGGTTGAAGTTGTTTTAGAGTACTGTGTTTTGAGTTATTTCTTCATGTGTTCAGAAAACATCGGTCACCTATTACACATACATGTGTAACATATTTAGACTACCATAGAAATGTCACTTAGACCTACTCTTAGAGTTGTGGGTGAGTAGTTTTAGCTTTAATTAGAATTTGGAAGGTTTTCCTAATCTTTACTTAACTAACATGTCTGATTTTTCCTTTGCATTAACTTAATGTTTTCTTTTCCCTACAGATTTCAGAACTTATATATCCACCTCTTCCAATGTGGCATCCATTGCCCAGAAAAAAGCCAGGAATGTACCGAGGGAATGGCCATCAGAATCACTACCCTCCTCCTGTTCCATTTGGTTATCCAAATCAGGGAAGAAAAAATAAACCATATCGCCCAGTTCCAGTGACATGGGTACCTCCTCCTGGAATGCATTGTGATCGGAATCACTGGATTAATCCTCACATGTTAGCACCTCACTAGTTCCTTTTGATTCTGTTTGTGTCATGTCGAGAGAAAGGTAGAATAATAAACCTTACTACACATTAAAGTTCATACTAATAGTAGTGAAGTTAGGTGGACCAAACCATCGAACTTATTTTTATAGAAGTTATTGAGAATAATCTTTCTTAAAAATATATATATGCACTTTAGATATATTGATATAGTTTGGGGAAATTTATTAAAGTTAGTCAAGTGCCTGAGTTTTTAATATTGGACTTGAGTATTTATATATTGTGCATCAACTCTGTTGGATACGAGAACACTGTAGGAGTGGACGATCTGTTCTAGCACCTTTGAGCATTTACTTTATGGAGCGTATGTAAGTTATTTATACACAAAGAAATCTATTTTATGTCGTTGTTTAGAAGAATTGCGTGAAATCATGTAGTTGCAAATAAAAAGTAGTTTGAGGCTTGACAATGTGTGTTTCTGTTCCGTACATAGAAAGGTAAAAAGAGCAGAAGGGATATTTCACTTCAATATATTTAAATATTTAGCAAAAAAAATTAAACAGAATGTAAGGATTTCAAAATTTTCTTTGAAAAATCAACATTTTATTAACCACGCTTTCCCCAAAGACCACATATCAAAATATTCATATAAAAAATTTAAAATTTTTTAGTGGTAGCTAATTGAAAATATAAATACAACAAAACATCTTTTAACTATCAGACACTAAACGGGGTCTTTTTAAATCAAGAAATTTGGCCTGTATGACATCTGATGTGTATGCCTAATGCCATTGTATAAAGCAGATATGTTCTTATTAGTATCTGTTCCTTGTGCTTTTTTCAAAAAGTGTTTATGTCTTTACTAGAGGTCTAAAATAAAGTCAAATAATACAGTACTTCAGATTCTTCAGTAGTCCTTCATATTTATACCACTGTAATCCCATCAGTCTTGTAAGCGTACTTGAACTACAAAAAGAAAAAAAAAAGATCTCTATAAGAGTGGATTTTTTTTTCCAAAGGTAAATTTTCCAGAACTAAGATCAATACTTTTCCATCACCCTCATCTTTAAATTCCCAGTCATAAATTATTTGCCTTATGAGAACAGTCACAATTTGCTAAGAAATCATTGGATGCTCTTGACTATTCCAAAAATTCCTGTTTTTAAAGAAAATACTAATGAAGTATACGGAAAAGTATACAAATCATAAAGGTGTAGCTCAATGGCATGAAAGTGTGAAGCTGGTTCTTTACAGTGCAATTTAAAGTCTGCAGCTTCATCAGAAGACTCATTTTTAAGCTATAGAGATTTGTTATTGTACTCTTGAGCCATATACAACTTTAATATTTCTAAACCATAATATCCACCTTTTTCCTGAAGTCTATAGTGAGTTCACATTCAAACTTCAGCATATTTTCCTAGAGCTAATATTTATTTACTATTTCAGTCATTGCACTGTTCCCTTATAGGTGCTAGAGAGTTTTGTGATAATGACAGATTTGCGGACAATTTGTATCAAGTTGGAAAGTTTCAAGCATTTTAATCACGAAATTAGTATTTATTAATTTGCTTATGCTTTAGGTAAATTGGTCCTCGTATCTGCTAGTTACACATCTGCAGATTGAACCAGTGGTGGATGCAAAAATTCAAAATAAAAATACAAATTTAAAAATACAATATAGCCACTATTTACATGACATTTGCATTGTATTATGTGTTATGAGTCATCTTGAGATGATTTAAGGATATGCATAGGTTATGTGCAAATACCATTTTAAATCAGAAATTTGAACATCTGAGGATTTGGGTATCTGAAGGGGTTCTGGAACCAAGGGATAATTGTACAGGCTTGTTGGGAAAATTGGAAGCATAATAATGTCAAGAAGGGATGCGTTATTTTTGGCACATACCTAGTAACCAGAATATTTTTTCCATGTTCCTACAAAATCTCTTCATCAGTTCAGACAACTTAATGACAGATCCCCTTGTGGAAACCACTAATTTTGAATTTGCATACAGGTACATGTATTACCCATAGAGGATTCTTCCTTTTATTCACTGCCCATCCTCCACCTTGTTCGAAAATTGATGTAGAAAAGAAAGCTCTAATAAATATAGCTTTTCCAATCCATTCCTAACAAAATGAAAGTGTCACTCTATGCAGTTTTGTTTTACTAGCAAGTATGAGGAACAAAAGTTTGTCAAACCCCTTTTCAATGGTAATTACGACTGGGAGTTAGAACTCAGTCTGTCTTCCTTAGATAACACCAGGAGAGCTCTTAATGAAGACAAAACATGGCTGCATAACTTCAGCTCAAAAGCCTTGCTAGGGTATTTCACAGGCATGGTCTGTCACTGAACAATGAAGATAATTTGTTTTAATTATCCATTTTGTATTTGTAGTCATAACTGCAAAGCTCTAAATTTTGAGGTTTGAAAAATACAATTCTTTTGGCAAGTTCTATTACATCAATACTAAAGTGTGCTTTTTTTTAGTATAATATTTATCCCCAAGTGTTTAACTTCCTAGTAAACTATGATTTCAACCTAATAAAGCATTCATGTTGACTTCTATTCAACTATCACAGGTATGTGATAATTTCTTTTTTGATGATCGGGAAGAGGAAAAAAAACTGAAAGCATCTATCATATACATTTTATCTTGCAGAATAGCCATTCTATCCATTTTACAGATAATAGTAAACAATAAAGCTATTTTTATTACTACATTTTTTATTACTACATACCAAGAACTTTTTTTTCTTTTTTGAGTCAGAGTCTCACACCATTGCCCAGGCTGGAGTGCGGTGGCACTTTCATGGCCACCCCAGCATTGACCTGCTTGGACTCAGATCCTTCCGCCTCAGCCTTCCACGTAGTGGGAACTACAGGCACGAGCTACCGCGCCCAGCTAATTTCTGACATATTGTAGAGATGAGGTCTCACCAAGTTGCTCGAGCGGGTCTGGAACCCGCGGGCTCAGGCAATCCACTCACCTTGGCTTCCCAAAGTGCTGGGAGCTTCTCCATATACTCTCTAGAATTTGTATTTCAGTGGGTAAAGCAGTAACATTGTGAGACTCTTAGAGAAACAGTACAATATCCCTGCATGACAAATGGCACTTATGGGAAGTTGTTAAAGAGAAACAGTACAATATCCCTGAATTACAAATGGCATCATACTGGGAAGTTGTAGTGCAAGCACTAAAGAGAAGGCTTGTGCAATTTCTGTTTAAAACGTGTACACTTTATTCACTGCAGAAACCATCACTCGCTTTCCAGTTTAAGAGCATTAGGCCATCTCCCATGTTCCTCTGTTCTTTCACATATAATCTTAAGGATAACAGGGACCAGAATGGAAGCACTTTTAACTCCTAGCAAAGCAAATTCACAGTTAAGATTTGTAGCAGATACATCACTGTAATTAGGATGGTTTGATGTTTATTCCATAAAGGATATAATCAACACATATAAAAGCAATGAACTTGTTTCTACTCTCAAAATGTCAACAGCTAGCTATAGAACAAACTTCCATAAAAGACAGAAACATAGTCATGGGAGACTTTTTGCTTAAATGCCATAGGACTTGAAATACCAACTGTTATGTATATAACACACACACACAGACACACACACACATATACACACACACACATATACAAATACTTATAAAACTGATACAATATTATAAATCGAGGAATACGGGTAAAAGCATTTCTATCCAGACTAAAAGTTTCATAGACCATTTTGATACATAATTTTAGTATGATGACCAATAAATATATGAACTGCACTAGCTATACAATGCAAATGAAACATCTATTTTGGAAATCATAAAATTAATAATGCCTAATATTAGTGAGAGTGTGTGTGGAGAAGCAGTCTCACAGTATTAGTAGATATTTTGGCTGGGTGCAGTGGCTCACACCTATAATGTAATCCCAGCATTTCAGGAGGCTGAGGCAAGAGGATTGCTTGAGCCTAGGAGTTTAAGACCGCCCGGGCAACATAGCAAGACCTCGTCTCCAAAAAAAAGAAAAGAAAAGAAAAATTAGCTGGGTGTGTTGGTACATGCCTATAGTCCCAGTTACGCAGGAGGCTGAGGTGGAAGGCCCACCTGAGACCAGGAGGGTCTGTGAGCTGTGATTGTGCCACTGCCTCAAGCCTGGGTGACAAAGTAAGACCCCCAACAAAAAATAAATAAAAATTTTAAAATTAAAAAAATTAAAAAGTAAAGGTTTAAAGGGGAGAGAAGTTATACCTCTCTGAGGTGCATAACCTTTGATCGAGCAATTATACTTCTAGAAATTTATCTACAGAAATGCTCAAACAAGAGGGCCATTATCTAAGTGTTCATGGCAAAATTATTTGGGATGGTAAAAATAGCAAAAAATGGAATAGCCATCCATGAGAAAAAATAGATTTAAAAATATATCTAGGCTGGGTGCGGTGGCTCAGGCCTGTAATCCCGGCACTTTGGGAAGCCAAGGCAAGAGGACTGCCTGGGCTCAGGGGTTTGAGACCAGCCTGGGCAACTTGGTGAGACCTCATCTCTACAATAAATCAAAAAAATAAGTCAGGCGTGGCAGCACTTGCCTGTAGTTCCAGCTACTTGGAAGGCTGAGGCGGAAGGATCACCTGAGCTCAGCAGGTCGAGGCTGTGGTGGTACCACTGCACTCCAGCCTAGGTGACAGAGTGAGACTCCAACTCAAACAAAAAAAAAATATGCCTAGAATGATGCCAATATTATCTGGAAAGATAAATAGTTAACAGTAGTTACTGTTCTCGGGGAAGGGAGGCAAATACAGAGAATTTTATTTTTCTACTTTGTACATTTCAATCTGAAATTCTGTACTGAGAATTATCACTTTGTAACTGGAGAGGTAAAAAGACAAATACCTTTTAAAAGGATTTAATTTAAGACATGTTGAATGGATTTATTTTTAGTAGACACAAATACTATACATTACTGATAAACTCTGTGTATGTCTCAAGTGCAATGTGGGTATATGGTTTTATGTTTACGATCATACTGTATTTAAAAGGAAATATTCAAAAATAATAAATGCTTGCAATAGGATAGTGGTATTACATATTTTCTCCCAGTGTTCCCAGTGATTATATAATAATTTTATGAGAAAAATGTTAAATATAGTACTTTGTGGGAGAAAAACCTCTTTTATTATGAAAAGGTATTAAGTACCTGGAAATAAATTTAACAACAACAAAATGGATTGAGTCCTATTAGGGGAGAGAAAAAATTACAAAAACTTGTGAAAGACAAAACGGAAAGAATTATATATTTCTAAATGGAATAAGTATTATTAAAATTTTACTTTTTTACAAATTAACATATAAAGTTAATATAAATCATAATTTAAAATCCCAATGAAATTATATGTAACTAGAAAGCCTGATTTTAAGAGTACATGGAAGAATAAGATTCAAGAATTATCAACAATTTAAAAAAAAAACAGTAGGTGGAGAGTATTCTTCCTTTTACATGATTCATTCATGTATACTTTATAACATGGGAATCAACTAACACACCAGTAAAACAGAATTAGCCGGGGATGGTGGCTCATGTCTGTAATCCCAGCACTTTGGGAGATGAAGGTGAGAGGATGAAGACCCAGGGGTTCGAGACTGGCCTGGACAACTTGGCAAGACCGCATCTCTATAATAAATCAAAAAATTAGCTGGGTATGGTGGTGCGCACCTGTGGTTCCAGTTACTTGGAAGGCTGAGGTGGAAGGATTGTCTGAGCCCAGTGGGTAGAGGCTGCAGTGGCCATGAGCATGCCACTGCACTTCAACCTGGGCAGGAGATTGAGACTCCTCAAAAAAAAAAAACAACCCCCCCCCAGAATTACAGGTGCAGAACCAGAAGCATTTATATATACATGTTTGTTTAGTGAATGTGGCTTTTCAAATTAAAGAACTCACTAAACAAAACTTAATACCAAAC